TGTTCTCATGCTCACTCTCAGAAGTCACCCATGTTCCCCAGGCACTCTGCCTCCTTGACCCAAACTCAGACCTCTGAGAAGGGCACTGCTGGTCTGCACTCCTGGCCAGGCCCACTGGAGACCCTGAAAGTCCAGCTCACTCCATAGCAATGTCACAGGGTGCACAGGGACTGGGGACAGCTCCCAAAGAATTGTCATTTGTGGCTACAGACTGGTCCAAAGGGCCTGGATGGTGGTGTGCCTGCCCCTGAGCCCTGCTCCTTCCACTAGGGCCTGCTGTGGGCTCCCTCAGACCCATCCCCAAGCCACTGTGGACGGCCCATATGGATGGGGCCTAAGCAGGCAGGAGCCAGCAGGGAGGCCAGGGCCACTCTACATGCTCAGCTTCATTGTAAGAGGTTCTGAGAGGGCAGGAGTGCAGGAGGGTTCTGCCTGTGGGATGGGATGTGGAGCTCACGCAAGACCTGACCAGCCAGTGGGCACAGACATCCAGGTGGCACGCTAGCCACCCTCCACATAGCTCTGGGCTCCACTGCACCTTCCCAGTACCCATGAGGTCAGGGGTACCCTGCAGGGTCCCCCATGGCTGTCTGTCTCTGCTGCCCCAGGACCCAGACAGTCTCTGAGTGTGCACATGCACAGCTGGGTCTAGCTGCTGGCCCCTGGCCTGTGCGAACAGGCTCTATAGAAAGGCATCTTTCTGCCACCGAGCTGACAGTTCTGAGGTATTTCCCAGGGTCCTCAGGGACCCCGCAGGGAGGAGCCTGACTCATTCTCCCTGTTCCTGGGACCTCTCTCCCAGGAGCTCTGCCAGTCTTTCAGGCACCATTTGGGGGTTTGGGGGCCAAAGCACCCCAGATGCCCACTTTGCAGCCCCATCTTTGAACAGGGCACCTCCTGTCTACAGCTCCCAGTACAACCCCACCCTGTAGCAGAATGGACACAGGACCCCACTCAGGGTCCACCTGAGCCAGCAGGAGAGCCCACCTGCACGGTGAGAACCAAGGACTCGCGTGGGTGGAACAAATTCCAGGGCTCCAGGGCCACGCGTCCAGCTGCCTCTGGAGACGGAGGACAATAAGCCCAGCCTGTGATGTGTGGCAAGAAGCCAGGGGCCTGAGGAAGTCCTGCCCGACCCTCCCTTCTGCTTCTGCCAGTCTGACTAGCTTGCCATTCACTGCCACTGTCAACTGGAGAACGAGGAAGGTGGGGCAGGCAGGGTAGGGTAAGCTGGTCCCCAGATATATGCACATGGAAGGTGTTGGGCCAGTCCCTGAGGTGGGGCAGCCAGCGGGGAGCTTCATTGTCCTCAGGCTGGACCCAAAGGCTAGCACCGTGAGCACACGGGATGGAGACCGCAGCCTGGGGTCATCTTCGGTGAGAATCATAGGACCGTGGAGCACCAGAGGGGATAAAGTCAAAGGTTGGGGCCAGTGGAGGTCCACCTGCCCCAGAGCAGAATCCTGCACAGAGGCCCCGATATCCCACAGGGCCCTTCTCATGGCCTCCTTCCTATGGAGACCTGAGCCTTGAGTGGTTGGGCCAGGAACCAGGCACAGGGGCAGCATGGGTCAGAGCTGCCAGGTAGACTGAGGGTCTGATGGGGTACATCTACACCTTTCCCTGGGGTGCCTCTTGGGAGTTTCCCACAGGCTCATCAACCCCGCCCAGTCACCATCATTCTGGTTTACAGATGAGGAAACTAAGGCTCGAGCAGTCAAGGCAGGCTGATGGGCACCCGCTGCATACGCACCTGGGCACCACACAGAGGCCTACCAACCACCCACACAGCAGTCAGTACAGGGAAGGCCGTCTACGGTGCCCTCAGTGCTGGACAGCATGGGAGGATCCTGCCCCAGGTTAAGAGGCCCCCCTCCCAGCAGCCAACCCCCCATAAAACAGGTCCTCAGTCACAGGAAGCCACATGTCAAACCCACAACGTGCAAGCTGCCTCCACTCTGCGCAAGTGAATTTTTAATTTAAACCAACATTCTTTTAAAAAAAATTAAACTATTTTAAACTTTCTATCAGAGCCAAAAATGAAATATCAAGCATTGTCACTAAAGTACTTTTAATCCAAAGCACAGCTGAACGCCGACCCGTCTGTCACAGCCGTCTGGAACACAGGCCAGGCCACACGACTACAGTGGAGCACCCAGCTCTCGGGGCTCAGCCTGGGAACTGGGGACCTATTATTTTGTCATCATTCCCAGGACTGAGGCCATGCCCCACACCCCAACACCCACTGCACCCTGCTTGAAGCAGAACAGGCCTTTAGGTGACAATCCCCCCTGAGCATTCTTGGGAGGCTGCCTGGGCCCTGAGCCTCTCCGTCCCCTCACCTTACCTTACTGGGGAGGATGCTGAAGGCCCTCCACTCTCGGACTGCACCCCTGAGCCTAGGATGCTGCACCCTGGCCTCAGCCAATTTCCAGCAGGTCAGGGAGGTGCAGGAAGGGCCACCAGTCCAGGCTAGAGGCATCGGACATCAGGGTTCCTAGGTTAGAGATTGGGACAGTCCCAAAGCCTCTGCATGCCTCAGTTTCTCAGCTGTGACACAGGGTGCTAGCAGCAGTCCAGGACGCCCCCATCAGGGGAACCTGTGAGCAGTGACTGAGGCTTGAGCTCAAATCCAGCTTCTTCCTGTGACCTTAGTAGTATGCTCTGGGTGGGGGTTGGGGGGTGTCCCTGCTGTAGCAATTCTTGTTCCATCTCATGGGAGGATCCAGACACTCTTTGAAACTGGAGCAAGTGGTTGTAAGTGAAAAGCAAAGAGCGCTTGTTCCTGGGCTCGGCTGCCATTGGCTGTCCATGATGGCTGTCCACGATGCCGTCAGGACAGTCAGCCAGCACCAGGCGGGGGGGGGGGGGGGGGGGCTGCCAAGGCCTGCACCCACAGCAGCAGGGAGTCCGGGGCCCAGAGAGAGCGAGGTTCCTAGACACACCTGGCCTCCACAGAATTCCTCCACTGCCTGCCCACCCCCCACCCCCCACCCATATCCCTGGGACAGTCCATTCAGGGTCCCTCCAAGGAAGTCACAGCATCTCAAAGGGCACAGCTCCATCTTGAAAAGGAGCAACCTTCTAGTAGGCTCAAGTTCCCATCCCTAGACTCTCTGAGTACAGAGGGGTCACAGGTCACCTGCAGTGTCCATGCCAAGGGCACTTCTCTGCAGACTCAGGCAGAGGTCCAGCTGCTCCTGACTCTGGAGCCTGGCCGCAGCTGGGACAGTCCCAGGCAGCCGGGACAGTGGGGCTGGCTGGTTGGAGCCAGCCTTGTCCAACCAGCTCACAGACCAGGATGCCCGGATGAAGGGGCACCTAGACCTAGAGAAGGAGCCCAGCAAAAGCTGCAAGATTGGCAGGCCTTGGCAAGAACAAGCTGTGAGCAAGGAGCTCAGGACTGCAGGCCAGAACAGGGACCTGTTTCCAACCACTGCTCAGGCCCAGAAACACCAGGGGTTGGTGCGGCCTGCTCCCAAGGTCACAGCACCAGGTGGTGGGAGATGCCAAAGTCCACCCCACCACACATACACCCTACCCCAGGAAGTCCCAGGCACATGACAGGCAGTGTCCTTACTACACTGAGCAGAGGTGCAGGTGGAGGCCCTGGCTCAAGGTTAAAGCTCCCAAGATAGAAGAGGGCCCTGAGCAGAAGCCGTCTTCTGGGGCTCACACCCAGGTGCAGTCCGAGGCCAGGCCAGAGGGGTTGCAGGCAGGAGGAGAAATGCCAGGAATTCAGGACAGACCTGCAACAAAGGCTGCAGGCGAGGGCGGAGGCTCGGAACAATCCAGCCACAGACCACAGCCTCCCTGGCCTAGAGCCCCACCTCCACCCGCCTGCCAGGCCAGCACTCCCCAGCAGACCAGGAGGGGCCAGCTGGGCTCCACCAGGACCCTCCACCTGGGGAGCGGTAAAGAAGCCCACAGGCCAGCTCCCACAAGTGCCACTCCTCTGCAGTGGCCCAGGACTGCTCTAGTTTTAATGGACATGGTATCTCACCGGATGGCCTTGCACATACTAAGCAGCACATCAGCATCTCACAAAAACACAAATGACAGGCTTACACATCGGATGCATCAGAGGTACACTTCAGGTACAGTGTTGAGATGGCAGAGGGGGCGGGGCAGGACTTTAGCCCCTGGTACAGCATCTGTCCATCCACAGAGAGGAGGTGGGGACACTCCTGGCCTGGCCTCCAGCACATGCCCTCCAGCCTTGCTTTGGTAACTTTAAGGAGACACTTAATAAGCCCTAGCACTGTGGAGCCAGACACAGGCCTCCATCCTAGAGACAATCCCACAGGCAACAGGGGCTGAGAGCTAGAGGCACCGGGAAGGAAGTGGCCGTCCAGGTTTCAGGCAGACTGCATCAAGGCAGGCGGTCACAGCCGGGCTCGCCATCTGACACTCGTCCCCACAGCAGGACAGCACTCTCTGGTCCATCCTTGTCCGCTCTGGAGTCCAACGGCAGCAGCCTTCTAGAAGCCCATGTACAGCCAGGTCCAGGGACTCCAGCCAGATGGTTCCAGTCCCCATTTTCACCCAACAACTGCCCATGCAACAGGTCACAGGAACAAGACTCCAGAAGACACCAGAAACATGACCACAAAAATGCTTCCCCCACGGGCATCCGTCTTGATGGCTTTTTTTTTTTCTTTTGGTTCAAAAAAAAAAAAGAACAGCAGGTTTGCAGGTAGACAAAACCGATAATATTAAAAATACAAACTTCACCTTTACAAATCAAAATGAAAAGGACAAAGAAACCACACACACACACACACACACACACATTTCTGTTAATACAAGCAAAGCACAACATTTTACCAAAAATAAAGAATCTAGGTTCTGCCCCGATGCCCCTGCAGGTGGGGAGCCCGCATCATCGGGAAGCCACTCTGCTCGATGGCTTGCGTGGAGTCCTCTCGAAATGGCTTAAATCAGAAAAAAAAAAATAGGGAGTATGTGGGGCGGTGGGACACAGGAAAGTCAGAAGCATGTAGGAATGATGCATAGGTGGGTATACCGCGTTTATTTTAATACATCTCATTAGTTTGCATCTTGCTAGGAAAAAATACCGTCGCTCTGTCCTGACAGTTACAGCAGCCTCGTGTGTTATCGGCGTAAATGTCATCCAAGAGATAATTAAAAAAAGGTTGGGGGGGAGGGGTGGGAAAGCTAGGCAAAGAGTAAAAAGGAAAGCTCCGTAACTTTACGGTGTAAAAAAAAAACCCATTAAGGCTCCCAGGAGGGTCCCACAGACTGGAGTGCTGCAGCGAGGGGTGTCCACGTGGTGATCCAAGCCTGGCTTCTCCACACCAGGCTCCGACTCAGCAAAAGCACCGCGGCCCACACAGATCCACCCGCGAGCCCACTGCGCTTCACCGCGAGCCCACTGCACTTCACCCCGCGCGGGGCGGCCCTTCCGCCGAAGGCTTAGATGTTTTGGAGTCCGTTTTTTGTTTTTGTTTTGTTTTTGTTTTTTGTCGTGTTTTGTGGTTTGTTTTTTCTCTCTCTCTCTCTGTCTCTCTCTCTCTCTCTCTCTGACAAGGAAGCTTACAGTTTCTCCGAGTGCTACAATACTTGCTTTGCTGTCACACTGAACAAATGTACACTGTCTCTTTGTTCTCCAGAGTGCTCTTGGACACAGTTTTTCACGGAGGAGAACAAAGACCGCACGCCGGCAATAAAGCACCGTACATAGTAGGTTCAGGAATGTAACACGCCATGTACATCCGTGTCCCAGGAGAGGGCTGCTGCTGATCCTCACCTCACATCTGCAAGGAAGAGGGGAGACAGAGGCTCAGAGGTTGGGCCACCAGGCACATATCACTGAAGCAGTTGAACCCAATCAAGGGCACCCACGGTGTTAAGTCTGAGGATTTAAACTTGCCAGTGCAATTTGAAGAATCAAATTGGCCATCTTAACCATGGTGGCCATATCCTGAAAGAATTGGGACTAGGCTCATAGCATCTCACAGAAGAACGTGTTTTTGAGAGCAAACTCCACGCTCCCATTGTACAGGCAGGGAAACTGAGGCCCGGAAGGGTTCTTTGGCCCTCCCCCCTGCCTTCCTTTCTTTCCAGCATAGGTCCTGGACATGACTTCTGGAGCTCTGGCAGCGATTTTGGGCCATGCAACTAGCTGAGGGTGGATGTCACCAGCCCCAGACAGAGAGATTCCTTGAGCCAGACTGATCTACATTGGGCTCTTTTGTTGTTGTTGTTGTTGTTACTTCCAATGCTGGCAATGGAACCAGGGCCTTATGTATGCTAAGCAGGCGCTCTATCTCTGAGCCACACCCCAAGCCCCAACCAACCTCACTTCTGCATCCTACATTCCAGCATGTGGTCCCCCTGTGGCTGGAGCCTGAGTGCTCCCTTTCACTGAAGGGGAATAAACCCCGGGGACAGGCAGGGAACCACCCCTTTGCCACACCCTGGGCTGTGGAGGCCCTGGCTGAGCATTGCTGGGCTGCTTCAGGGACGCCAAGTGGGTGCTTTCCTCCCACAGGGTCCTCACAAATGGCCCAACCCACAGGCCTCCAAAGCCCCTTGGACCGGCCGACTTCCCCAGCCACATGGCCCAACAGGAGCCAGGGCTCTCAGACACACTATCTCTGAGGAATCTCCTCTCAGTCTACAACAACTATTTGTCTTGGATGCCAGAGAGGCCCACGTGCCAGGAGGAAGGGCCAAGCCAGCCGGGCTCCAGGCTCCTGAGCCAGACAGGCCAACCAAGGTTGGGAAGGCCCAGAGCCGCCCTCTTCCTCTGGGAGGCGACTCTTCAGAGGGGCTGCTACCTTGGCCCTTCTTTCTCTCCCCCACCTGCCTTTTCTCTCCCAGCCTAGAGTATTAGTATGACTTTTGGAGCTTGAGCAGTCACTTTGGCCCATGAGGCAGCTCTGACACCTGGGACAGCCACACCCGCCTGGCTCTTCCCATCTCTACCTGAGCATCAGAAACTTCCACCCTCGCTCCATCTCTGATGTTGCTGATGCCCAAGAGCCAACATCCCTGTACATTTATAAAGCACTTCCAGACCCACTGAGCCTTCGACAACCCAGAGCTGGAACCAGTTAGGCCTCAGTTTCCCCAGCTGCCAATGGAGGGGCAGGAGGTGGTCCCACCACACTGCTCCGGCACCCCAAACCTTTCCACTCGTGTGTGATGCTCTGCAGCCCAATCAGGAAGAGCAGAGCAAAGCCAAGGAGGGGGAGAGCTGCGAGGAGCCCGCACCCAGCAGACACCCAAGCACACAGCCCAAGGCCTCGCACCCGCCCCAGGGAAGCTGATTCGCTGCAGTGATCTGTGGATTGGCCTCCCATCCCTGCAGCATCCCAGCGCCCGCTGGCGGGGCCTACCTGGCTGGCGCTCTAGGTGGGTTTTAACCTTTTTCTTTTCCGTTTTTTACCTGACTCCCTACGCCTTCCTGTTAATGAAAGGGCAGGGACCGTGAGCGGCCTCGGGAGGCTGTCCAGCAATAAATACCTGAGGTGTTTGTCTTTCTGAAAGAAGCTCGATCCGCCCTGGCATAGAGACACTTCCGTGTCCCCTCCTTTGCACCTGGGGCTGGCCCAAGAGCAGGTCACAGCACCTCAATGCTACTGGGCACACTGCCCTGCAGGGTGGAGGCCAGGACCCCATCACAAGGCCACCACCATATCCAGTGCCCCCTCTTCCCATCAGTTCCTCCTGCCCACCCAAACAAGGGCTTGGCAGCCATGCCTCACCTGCCCATGCCCAGCGCCCCGAGAACCCAGGGAAAGACCCCACCAGCCTCACTCGGGCTGAACCCTCCTCTCCAGCTAGCCCTGGGGCTCATCCTGTGCTCCCCAGGGAGCAGCCGCCACTTACCGGTCTCCTCTTCCCGGTGGTCTGGACTCAGGCTGGAGGGTGCGCACGCACACTCCAAGTGCTCCTCCAGCCTCACCTGGACCTCTTTCAACCGCGGCTTCTTCCTGACGTATTCCACCTTGGCCACCTGCCAAGACAGCAGAGCCACTGACACCTGGGGGCTTGGAACACCATGAGGTGGAGCCTGATGGCTTGGTCCTCCTCAGGCTGAAGACAGGGAACAGCCCAAACTTGACCTCCAACCTCCAACCTCCCCTCCCGGGGATCCTCCCTTGAGTTGGGAGGGCAGGGGTGCCAGGTGCAAACAAACTTGGTCCCATTTGTTTAAATTAACCCAAAGGTTCACGTGTGCCTGGGAGGTCTGAGGGCTGCACATGGCTCAGGTGGGCAGGGAAGGCATCTGCTTCCATGTTTACCTGCCCCAGGAATGTTTCCAAATGTGTGTTTTATGACTAGTGCGGAGAAAGAAGCCCTGGCTGGAGACAGCCCTGCCGCTGAGCTGGACTGGTGCTGGACCTGCTGTAGGGGAGTTTCTGGCCCCACCTGCCTATAGCCCTCTAAGAAGTTTTGACTGGACTCCAGGGGCCAGAAGATGACCGACCCTACGTGGTCCCAGCCACTATGGAGACCCACAGCCACTGACCAACTCCATACCAGGCCTGAGGCTCTCCTTGGGCTCAGAAAAGGCCTGCCCTGCCCGTCTCAAAAACATGGGGCAGAGACCCCGGGCTGCCACAGTGGCCACTCGAGGTGGATCCAGGAGGAGTGGGTACAAGGCCACGATTTCAAATGCAGATTGCTTAGAGGCCATTCTGACCTCAGCAGGAGCACCTCCACATCCAGCCCCCAGCTCCCTGGGCACAGAACAAGAAGGTGGACCTGCCCCACAGCCCACTCCACCACCACCCCCACCCCCCGAGTAGCTGCAGGAAAAAGCAGAGGGCCCCAGGCCCAACCTCTGAGTTTTCAAAAATGGGGGACCAGAAGCCAATCCCTAGCCCTGCGGGACAGGCGCTGCACCCTAGACCACACACACCGGATCACAGGAATACAGCTCTACTTTCATGTGCACCTGTATAACACACACACGTGCCCAACATGAGAAGCAAGTTCACGGCCATGCACACACGTCCATAATGCACACCCCCATTATGGGAAGCAAGTCCCCCCAGCAGCTCCTTTCACCCCAGGACAGATGAGGAGCTGTCTGCCCAGAGAAGCCGATCTCTCCTTGGTCAAGTGCAAAGACCAACACTCATTTAGCCCTCAGACCCTCCAAGGAGACAGGAGTATCATCTCCATGGCCAGAAAAGGAAACTGAGGTTTGTGGAAGCCAAGATGGTCCTAAAAGCAAGAGTGGCAGTCTGACCCTAACCACTGGGCTGTCCTGCCTGCCACCTGGAGTACAGGCAGGCAAAGCCAACCCTGAGGTGCTGGGGACCAGGCTCTGCTGAACCCTGCAGTGGCTGCCACCTCGGCTGAGCTAATGATTAACCTGGAGTGCAAAGGGTGTCGGGTGCCTGGCGGGCGTATGGACTGGCGTGGGCTCTCAGGTGTGAACACAGGCTGCCAGGTATGAGCTCAGACTGCAGGGCGTGGCTGGGGGCCAGGGGTCAGCCCTGAAGGTTTCGCTACGTCAGGAGGTGGGAGAGATGCTGGCCGGGAGGAAGGCGCGTAGGCCGTGCCCGGGCTTCCCTGCCAGGGTGTTCCACCAGGTACCTGCGTGCAGCGGCCTCGGCCAACCTACTCCTGCCCTCTTTCCCCAGGTTCATGGCCCAGGAGGAGGAGCCTATGAGCTGTGCTGTGCCCTCAGACACGTTGGCCTCTCCTGTGAAATGGGGACATCAAGCACACCCACCAGGGAGCTGGGGAGGGATAAGGTGCCCAGGACTGGGACAGAGCCAGTGCCACACGTACAATGTCTCAACGTGAGGCCCCCCCTCCAAAACCAGCCCAGGCTCTGCTCAGAGAGGCCAGGCCTGGAGACCCCCAGGGGCTCCAGCAAGGCCCCCTCTCCAGTCCTCAAGCTCCACACAGCAGCTGTGGCCCCCAGCCAGCAGAGCAGTGTCTCAGAGACCTTCCCTTTGAGGATGGGACACTTCCCCTCCTCAGCAAGACTCTAGAACAGCAGAGGTTCATTCACCCTGCACCCAGCCATACCCCCACTGTCCAGGAATCAGATTCCAAGTCTGTCTCCATGCTAATTGCCTGGGGACTGGGTGGGGGCTCAGGGCCTGAGTGGGGCTCCCCAAAATGTTGTAGTCTCTATTTTCACAATCGGCTTTCGTGAATTGGCTTTTGCGTAATATATGCACAAAACTGAGCCCAGTAGCCTTCACCCTCCTAGGAGGATCTGTCTGGGTGGATGCTCTGCTCCCAGACACCCCTGGCCTCTGCGGTAGACGAGAGGAACAGGGCAGGGCTATCAGAGCCCTGGGGTCAGGCTCAGGCAAGGTACTTGTCTTGCTCTTGGCCTCAGCCCTCCGGGTGGCACAGCCTTTTTGATCAACAGTAGATGCCCCAGCAGGGCAGACACTAGGGCCTGGGCTAGGCCAAGACCACCCTCCAGGCCAACCCCCAACCCCCAACCTGGTAGCAGGCTTGCTCTTCTCCAGAGACAGGTGGGTGCCGTGAGCAGGGTGGGGTCTCAGCAATGCCACCCTTGTGGTCCCAGAGGGACACAGATGGGGCCGCTCCAGTCTGGGGGTACGCTTTCTCTCCAGACAGCCCCATGTTTATCAGAGAAAAACAGACAGCGATTTATGATTGCACCTGCTCCTGGGTCTGCAAGAGTTCTGGCTGCTCCACCACCTCTGTCTGGCCAGGAAATGGCTACATTTTTCTCCCAAGAACACGTTACGAATATTAAATTCTCAAAAGCCTTCTTCACGAAAGCCAATTCTGAAAATAGAGACTACAACGTTCTGGGGATCCCTATTCAGGCTCCAAGGCCCCACCCAGTTCCCAGTTTGGGTCATTGTGCCCTCAGCACTCGGTCCCTCCCTCCCTCCCTCCCTTCCTCCCTCCTCTTTCTGAGACAAATGGGCTGCACTTTCTCACACCCAACATCCTAATTCCCATTCTTTCAAAGACATCCACTTATATCCACTCTAGTAAAGCCACCAAAATCCTCCGGTCACTGTCACCCTTCAGAGACCTCCCCTGAGGGATGGTCCTGACCATTCTAGAGCTTCGGGACAGAGCAGATACAAACTCCCATTTATTGAGCCCAGCCATGTGACCCTTACAAGCAGGCATGAGCACCGTGTGGCCCATTTTACAGGAGGAAATGGTATAGACAAGCAGGCAGCCCCACTCAGGGTCCCCAGGCTTCAAATCCCAGGCCCTTCTGTTTTCTAGAGATGGAGATCTCTCCGAATCCAGGAGACCCCTGCTTAGCCAAACCCCCACTGAAGCCCTGCAGGAGTGAGCCATGGGTCTACAGGACCCGCAGGTGTCCTCCCCCAACCCAGGAGGGAGGCCAACACCAGACTTCAAACCGGTATGAACAGGAGCCCTGCTGGGCCTGCTCCTAAGGCCCAACCCAGCATCTCAAATGCAGTGACTCCAGACTTTGGGGCTCACAGTCTGACAGGCACCACTATCCACCATGCTGACACCCAGCCTCCTAGTGCCCCTGCCTCTCCCACACAGGGAAAGATGCTGAGACCCCTTCACCAGAGACCAAGGCTACTACTACCACCCCCCTCCCCCAGACCCTGCAGAGGACCCCAACAATGACTGAGGGACCCCCTGGGAACTCCCCCAGAACACCATTCTGGCCTCCACCAGGGAGGGAGGCCCATCCTTGGTGCCTGGTGAGAAGACTCTTCCAGAAGCCTGAGGTCCTGCCCAGCAGAGCCACAGCCCAGCCAGAGCCGGGTGCTGCTGTGGAGATGAGCCAACGGAATCGATGAACCGATGCCCCAGCCCCTCCTCTTGAGGCTGCCTTAAAAGGCACCAACCCAAAGCTTTCCTGGGCAGCAAGAGCAGCCTCCATTTCTGGCAGGGCCAGAGTAGATGGCAGCTCAGAGCTGGTCCCCACCCCTAACCTCACAGTGGCCCCCAACCAGTGCAGGCCAGAGGTGGACACTGCTAGGTAAAAACCACCACAAGCTACTCACTCTGGATTGGGACTTTGGGCCTCAGCTCTGTCCAGGCTAAACCACTGGGACAGCTCTTAGGCCAGGCATGTCCAGTAGCACCCACTTCTGCTCCCTTCGCCCAACCCCTATGATAGAGGTCTGGAGGAGATGCTGACAACGTGAAGCAGGTCAGAGAAGCATGGCTAGGACCCCTGGTGGCCTCTCCCCAGGGCTGATGGCCAATGATGGCCTAGCAATCCTTGCAGGTGCTAGGCCCACAGAGAGGCCTCCTCTCTACACGTCCCCACAAGAGATAGGAAATCCCAGCCCAGGTGCCACGCTGAACTGGGGCAGTGGCCAACACACCTAGGTCCTTGAGCTTCCTCCTAGAAGTCACAGGAGACTGGCCATCCACCCCAGCCACACCACCAGACTCCCAGAGCCTGATTCACCAGCCCGGGTGCCCTTCCCAGCCTTTCTGCCATCTACATGACAAGGGACTTGAAAATGTTCTTCCAAAGACCATAAAGACTGGAGTTCCAGGTGGACAGGGTTGCCATAGGCCTCCCCAGCTCCCCCTGAACCCTGTTGGCCCCTTGCCCACATACAAGTGCTTGGCTCCAAATAAGTCCATGTTCTAGGCCCATGTGCCTCTGTCCAGGTCAGGACAGGCCTCCTGCTTGGCTTCCACAATGGGCCTCCAGTTCCTGCTGACCTCCCTGCCTCTACAACAGCCCCCAGTGTCCGGGGCCAGATGTTCCCCTGAAGACTTATGGGTGAGCAGGGGGAGAACTTTCCCAGGAGGGAGGGCCAGGCTCCGGCGGCAAGACTCTATCCCCTCAGGCTGGCCACAACCTTACTGGGCAGACAAGACCCACAGGGCCAAAAAGCATGACCCCTACATAGTGCACAGAAGGGGCCTTTCTTTCCCAGGGAGGGCATTTCTGAGGGCGCCAGGCCAAAAGACCTCGAACCTACCTGGCTCACTAGAGACCAGGGAGGGAGGCACCACTACCGTGCTGGGAAGGGACACTCTTTGTCCTCACCCCCAAAGAAACAAAGGGGGAATGTGGGAAGTCCCTGAAGCTGGAGGCCATAGGAACAGCCCAGCCCCTCAGTGCCCAGTGCCCACATAAGACATCTCACCTGGATCTGACCTATGCCTGTGCCCAGGAGACAACAGGTATCCCAGCCTCTCAAGACTATGTGACCCCACCCCCCACCCCTGCTGCCATTCTGCCACCGCCAACATACCACTGATAAGAACCCTGAGGCCCAAGGAAAGGGCCAGGGTCACACAAGGAGAGATGGCCTGGGCTCACGCTAAGGGAGAGATCCCTGGCCACTGAAGCCTGGAGAAGTGAGTCAGCCTCCAGTGTCTGACCTACAGACAGGAGAGTTCCCCAGACAAGCCCTGAGCCCAGGGAAACCCTTGGGCCCTTGAAGGGGAGTGCCAGTCTGGAATTTGCTCACTCAACTTCCAGGGCTCTGTGAGGACCAAGTCCTGGAGATCAAGATAAGTCTTAGCTAGCCGGCCCAGTGATGCACACCTGGAATCCCAGCAGCTCGGGAGGCTGAGGCAGGAGGATTGCAAGTTCAAAGCAGCCTCAGCAACTTAACAAGGCCCTAAGCAACTCAGCAAAACCCTGTCTCTAAGGGCTGGGGATGTGGCTCAAGCGGTAGCGCGCTCGCCTGGCATGCATGTGACCCGGGTTCGATCCTCAGCACCACATACAAACAAAGATGTTGTGTCCGCCGAAAACTAAAAAAAAATAAATATTAAAAAAAAATTCTCTCTCTCTTTCTCTCTTAAAAAAAGTCAAGTCTCAGCCAAAAGTCTAAGGTATACCACCCTGCGTCTAAGACCTGGCAAGGGGTCCTTTAAGCAAACCATTAACCATTTCCCAGCATTCCCTCCAGGGACATGCACATGGTGGAATCTGAAATGGTTTTTTCCTAGAGTCAGGAGTGGATTCCAACCTTGCCCCAAAAATGAAACTTCAACCATACTTCCTGGCTAAGCCAAAGTGGCCTGCTCTGCTGGCAGGCCTGCCACACCCCCGGCTTGGATTTGCTTGTCCTGAGAGTCAGTCATACAGGACATAATGGTATCTCAACCAACTGGAGCCAAACTCTAGGTTGCAGAGCCCTAGGAGTATCCAGCCCCCAGATGGGAATCCCAAGGACTCCAGCCTCAGCCAGCCTCCTAGGAGCCCAGAGACACCCAAAACACCCGCTTTCCAAAGTCCTTCTGAAGGCCATGCCCAGACCATGGCACAGGAAATCTCCACTCAACAGGGAGGCCATTCAGATGGACACGTGCGACCAGACCCAGTGCCCACATCCATAATTCAGGCTGAAAGCTACCAGCGCCAATCCAGCTGCCCAGAGGGACCTAAAGCAGCAAAATCTGCCCCAGGACTTCGAGGGTGAAAGAGAAACCATGACCATGCTGATTTCCCCAGGGCTGACTCAGGGGCCACCATATCTTGGGCCCTGCCTAGGAGACAGCTTTGTAGCCAGCTGTGTGCTGGTCCTTAGTGACCACAGGCTGGTGGCAACAATGCCAACCAGGTAACTAGGCCCTAATCCCCTTCCACCTGGCCTTACCTATGCTGCTCCTTATCCTCCACCACATAAGAGCACCTAGCAGCCGAGGATGTTGGTGCACACCTGTAAATCCAGAGGCCGGGGAGGCTGAGGCAGGAAGATCACAAGTTCAAAGCCAGCCTCAGCAACTTAGCAAGGCCCTAAGCAACTTAGTGAGACCTCTGTCTCAGAAATAAAAAGGGCCGGGGATGTGGCTCAGAGGTAAAGCCCCTCTGGGTTCAACAATCCCCAGTAAAGGAAAAAGAGCATCCAGCAGACCCTGTGCTGCGGTGGCTCACCTTGACGCTCCGGTGGTGGACCCGCGAGGGCTGGCACTTGACACTGCTCGTGTTGCAGCAGCCGGTGCAGCGCTTCACCTCCACGCACGGCGGCCAGATCAGGAAGTTGGCAGACGTGGGGTCCACCTGGCTCCGAGGTATCTCGTAAATGACCGTCCTGGTCTTGCAGACTGCAGGAATGGCTTCCTCTGCAGAGGCAAACGCATGGTGACACAGGGGTCGCTTCCATTTCTGTTAGCACAGCACAGCTAAGTGTGCATGCCCTTCCTGACCCCACCTAATGCCATCCAGCCTGACCGGGCCCAGCCTAGGAAGGAGCTGACCCCACATCCCTGATGCCTCTCATGGGAGCTGGCACACTGGGTCCCCAGCAGCCACTCAGGAGCCAGGGAAGAAGACAGGGCTACTGGCAAAGACCCCCAAAGGAAGCCCTGGGCAGTCCCTGGCCACACTGGGCCTACCTCACACACAGCAGCCAAGGAGGAGGAGGGCAGGGGATCAGGCCCAGCAGCAAGCCCCACACCACCTAGGGCCTAACTCACAAAGGTCACCAAGAGGCCACTCCGATGCCCCCAAGGAGAAGGCTGTAGCCACTTCTTGCCCTGCTATCCTCAGTACAGCCACCACAGCCCTAAGGACCTCATCTGTCTACCAGGTGTGAGTTCCTCACAGGACTCTGGGGACATATCTTCCTCCCCAGATAACCCTTACTAGGCCACATCAGCCACCAGGCCTAGTCACTAGGTCATGAGCCAGCCCCAGGCCTGCCAGTGGGAGGCTCTGTCCCCTCAACATGCCTAGGGAACCCAGCCAGGAGCCAAGGGGCCTGGACAGGCTCTGGGGCCACCCACAGCCTGCTCCCTCTGCCCCCAGCAACATGGTGGGCCCATCTGGACCCCAGGTTAAAAGTTGAGGAAGCTGGAAGCAGCCAGGGGCAAGAGGCCCAGCCCAGCAAGCCAGCCAGGGGGAGGCCAGCGTGACCTGTGTGCACACCCTACAGTCCCCACACTCCAGGGCAAGCAGCCCCATCTTCTGCAGGCTCCCTCAGGAAACAGATATGCCTGAACTGAACTAACTGAAGGCTCTAACACAGGGCCAGGGGAGGCAGTCAGTTCCTCCACCTGCTTCCTGTCCACAGCGGGAGGAGACCCTGAGGGCCTCTTGACATAGCAGGTAGGAGGAGTAGGCACGAGAGTCCTCCAGGGAAGCCCCCAGGCCCTGGGCTGCACATGCTGATCTGGGCATTTAGGAGGAGTCACCCCACACTGCCCACAGTAAGCCCCCCAGCCCAGGACCCTCCAGGGAGGCCTTCCACCCACCCCCAACCTGGACTAGGAATCCTGAGCACTGGATGGAGGGACCTGGCTAGAGTCTGATCTGAAGGGTATAAAATGCATGCTGGCACCAGCAATGTCCCCTGCTCAGGGTACCTAGAAATCACCTACATAACACACCCAAAGGTGAAAGACAGAGGGGATCCACTTGCCCCAGAGTCACACAGCAATGAGCAGCCCTACAATAAGCGGCGGCACCCTCAGATAGAATGGGACTGAGTGGGTCACCCCAACCCCGAGAGCACAGGCCAGCTATTCCCCAAAGGAGGCCTGCCTGGAGCCCCAGAGACAGAGATGAGTGGGGCAGGGCCCTAGGGAAGGTGTCTCCAGAGGCCCCAGGCCTGGCATACCCGGCTGCACCCGTCTTGTGGCTAGAGGCCCAGGGCCCTGGTGCTTCACATTAGGAACTGGAAATTAAGCTCAGCCACGTTTTCCAGCAAGGCCTCCACGTAGACAGGCCCCAACAAGACGGGGCACTTAAAGAATTTATGATGGCTCTCCTCTCCTGGAAACTCTTGGCCGGGACTATGACTGCAGCACAAGGCAGGCAGGAGACACCGCATGGAGGTGGAGGAGGGCGGCCTCCGAGAGGGCAGGAGGCCAGAGCTGGAGGAGCAAGCCCAGCCTTTGTCTCATGGCCAGCTCCTCCCACCCGCGCAGCTCCTGAACCCACCGATGCTCCTTTTCCTCCGAATGGGCACAGGCCGCTTCTCGGGCGCATGCTTGGTGGCGTGGGCCCGGTGGGCTCTCAGGCTGGTTCCCAAGGCATCCTCGGCTCCTATGGGTAGAAAGAGAACATGGAGACCAACTGTCCACGCCTGTGTGGTCTGTCTGCCCGGGGGGCCTGAAATACAGGATCCCCAGTCAGCTCTCAGAGCCTCCTGGGGACAAAGGGCCAGAAAGCTCAGCCCAACCCTCTCCTAGCAAGACAGGTGGAGTCCCCTGAGCCCTCTACCTCCACTCAGGGCTTTTCAGATGGGCAGTGAATGAAACACAACCAGACCAACAATGTCCCATCAACACCGAGGTCCCCGAAACACAAGGGTTCCTGCTAGGCCCTTGGCAAAGCTGAGACCCCTTTCAGGAAGGGGTTCCAGGGGGGTCTCCTCTATGGCACCTTCTCCAGTGAAGCCAAGCTGAGGGTTCAACCAGGTCAGAAAGTCCCTGAGGCCATCTATCCCAGAGCTAAGAGGCTGTACCACCCAGCGGGGTCCATCTCCTGGGCTCTACCACAGCCACAGTAATGCACTGAAAGTCGGGGCTACTGAGGCTCCTGCTGGATGAAGTGTCCTAACCTTGGAGGGGCATCAGAAGCAAGGCCAGACTGGGCTGTGAGCCAGCCCCTACTTGTTCCTGAAATAAGTCTGCGCTGAGGGCCAGAGGCCATGAGAAAACGGCAGGAGGGCAGCACGTAGGCTCGTGAAGTGTAACTAAGGAGTGGCCGAAGGCCTGAGGCAGGAGTCAGGGTACCAGGCAGAGAAGGGAGGTGGTCTGCAGAAAGGGAAGTAGATCTCACCCACATGCCTGCAGCCATGTCTAGGCAGTGGGGACCCAGATGGCTCCAGTTACAGAGCAACAGCCCAGCACTAAGACCACACCAAGAACCCCAGCCCCACACAGTACAGAGGGAGGAGGGCCACAGAGATTATAGCCCTGAGTCTCAGGCTCTCCGATTTCTGGGACTGAAGAAGGATACAGCCCTACTACCTGTTATATGGACGGACGAGTCCAACACCACCCATACCTAGCTATCGTCGGTCCTACCTGGCCCCCCAGCCTGGGCCCTCCAGATGTGGCAGGGAGTCCCAGGACATGTGCCCAATAGCCAGAACTCTCCAAGATTTGCTGGATCCTATCCTGCAGCCTCCTCTCCTCTCCAGCTCAAAGGACCTCCCATCTCCTAGCCCAGGTAGGAGCCCACCCCAGTGTCTGATGTGCAGCCCAAGGTTGCCAACCCACCCAAGCATCCACAGCCATCTGCAGAAACCCTGGCCTCCTCCACTTCTCTGAGATGTACGGAACCTGCATGATTAAAATGAGAACTAAAACCCTTGCATAAGGTATGAAAGTCCAAGATGAAGGTCGGGCCGAGCCCAACTTTTGACTTCAAAAATGACTGAATGTTCCAATGTCACTGATTTTTTTTTTTTTTGGGGGGGGAGACCCAAAATAAGATCAGAACACAACTACTCATGCAATAAGAATTTCCCATCAACCAATTGTCACAAGGAGCATTTTTTCATGGAAAAGTGACATTGTGAGTCATGTCCTGGTGGTACCCATCTTGCCATGGCCAAACCAACAAGGTCCACTCTCAGCTTCTGGAGACTCAGCAAGGGCACCTTCTGACCCCTTCTACCATCAGGCTGGCTCAATTGCTTCCCTGAGTCTTAACCTTTACAGGTATGAAGTAAAGGCTCCATCAGCCTTTCACGCCCAAGGAAACCTAGGCCCAAAGAAATGGAACAAGACAAGGACAGATGGCTCATGAAAGGACCCTCAGGACCAGTATCCAGTGGTTCAGACTCCCACCCCAGGCCCCTTGGCCCAATTTAATGCACTGAGAGAATTTTGGTCCTCAAAGCTCAGCAACGCTGACACTTTATCTCCTTAGAGACAAGACAGTGCGAGCAGCTCTTACTCAGACAAGCCTGCCCTCTGTTCCCGGATCAAGATGGGTGGTCACAAGCCAAAAGCAGACCCTTGTTCTGGGGGACACAGCCAGTCTGATGTATGATGGCTGATTTATGCTCTGGCAGTAATTTAAATGAGACCCCTGATAGCGCTGCGTGAATCATCCCCTGAAACCACTCTCAGGACAGTTCACCAAGCAGTTTCCCTTTGGTCTTCGATGCAAGTGTCCACAAGATGACACATGGCAATTCACAAGACAGAAGACTCCTCATGCTCTGCCCCAGTCAGGTCTTAATGGCCAGGATAGGGATATTTGTGTATCAGTTACTCAATGACCCACTGGACATCCAGCTAGACCACTCTGGAGAACATCTATCTAGCCACACAGTCCCCAAACTCCATGACTGCTGGTCACTGAAAGACACAGGCAAATCCCCCCATACCTGTACACTATGCAAATCCCCCCCCCATCCTGTACACTATGGAACACTCCCAGCTCGGTGACATTCTGGGCCAGGAACCCCACAGCCTCTGGAGGTCTGAACACACCAGGGAGGAGCTATCAGGTTGAACGCAGTTTTCTCATCTATAAAATGGGGAGCAGCTGGCTTACTGGATATGTGATTAGCATTGCAGCTCTGTGGGGTTTGCCCTTAGAATTCCTGATCTGGGGGCCTCTGGGCTGGAGCCTCTTTTGGAGAATACAAAAAGGACTGTCTATTCTATCACAAAGCTCCACCCAAAAAACTCAAGGTGGAACCTGGGACACCCAAAGCCTCTTACTCTCTCCCTATACTATAGACTTGCCCTGGAGAAACCTATCAGCAAGAGTCCTCCTAAGGACTACCCTCCGGGGAGCCCCACAGTGGGTTAGTCAAACTGAGCTTCTCCCAGCCGTTGACCTTTCCTCATTCACCCCAGCCTTCTAAATGGCTCTTGCCAGACCAGGGTACCCCCAACAGGCCAGATGTACCTCTGAGTAGACTTAAGGGGGAGGCCAGGGCCCAGAAACGTGGCCACCAGGGCGGTCTACAAATCCCCTCAGTCAGGAAGGTGGAGGGGTGGGGGCAGGGAGAACCCAACACAAGTTCAGGAGCCAACAGGCCATTCCTGTCCTCTGCTCAGGGACTCTTCTGCTTCCACACCTGGGGGAGGGGAGGTGAACCAGGGAGAGGAGAGAGATACTTTGGGGTTTTTGTCACAAAGGGTCCTCACCCCAGGCCAAGAGTAAGGAGCAAGATGGGCTCCAGAGAGTTCCCCAGGCACTCAGAGAATCCTATGCAGACCCAAATGTCTGACAGGTGGACAGGAGCACTAGGACCCATCCCTGCATTCCCCAGGACAGAAGGGACAGGCAGTTCCCCTCACAGGACATTTTTATAGGGGCAATTTGAAAACAGCCTGAGGACTATCAGTGCACTCTGGCTTTTCCCTTTGGATTCTCCAAAAAAGGCTCCAGCCCAGAAGCCCCCAGGTCAGGAATTCCATGGGCAAACCCCACAGAGCTGCAATGCTAAAAGCGTTAATGGGTGGGGGTGGGGTGGGGAAGGCGGGGCTCCAGAGACCAGAATAAGAATGGTCCCAGCAGAAAGTGAATGGCCCATTTCCATGCCGCATCCCAAAAGACTAACCTACAGGAGGTCCAGCCCAACAAGGTCTCACCCCCACAAGCCAGGAAAGCAAAGCCCTGGAACCCTCAAAGAAAGGCAGTCTCCATGTCTCCAAATCCACCAGGGACCAGTGAAATGCCAAGCGAGTGTTTCCCCAGTTTCCCAAACCAAACCCTTCGCCCCCAGGCTTGCACATCAAGGGACTGGGTCAAAATCCCCTGGCCCAACTCTGATCTCCAAGTGAAATCCTACCCCACTCCTGATAAGGATCAGGAGAAGGATTTCCTGGGTCAAGAAACTACAGAAACCAGCCGCCTTGTTAGAAAATGGTTTTGGCATGGAATGAAAACAGTTTGGGCCTCTCCACCATCATAATTAGGTACAAATTTCCAAATGACTAGACCATGTGATTCTACTTAATTCCCCCACCACCCCCCTTTCCAGAGTAGTTGCAGTGAGAGAAAAATCTTCATTTCACTTAAAATTCTTCACTTTGGCTGCCTTTCATTCCTCTTCTTGACAAGTTCATCTCAGGCCTTTTTAAAAAGCCAGTCAGTACATTTTCCCGCTTGAGTACCTCCCTAGTTAACTCAGGATGGAGTTCCAAAGTGTTAATTTTGAAAATGGCGCCACAAACGACCTAGAGGAAACCTGGTCCTCCAGCACCGGCTCTGTACTTCTCGGAGAGCACAGCCCCCAGCACCACCACTGCCCCCACTGCAGAGACCCCTTTAACTCCTGCAACCTTGGATCTAGCCCACAGCGCAACCAGAGCTTCAAAACTCTTCAAGTAAACTGTTTTCTGAAGTGGCTGAGCTCCAGACTCCTAGAGTGAGTCCCCAAAATAGCCCCAAGCACATGTGTCCTAGGCGTGCCTTTTTATTGGGTCGTGAATAGAGAAAGACACGGGCCTCCGGCAGCCACACAGAGGCCCAGCCCCGCAGCAAGCGCAGCACCCGCACACAGTGCTTACTAAAGGGCCCTGGCCCCACCGGCTGCGCGCCCCTCAGGGTTTAGCCAGGTGGGCGGCGGGCCAGGCGGACGGACCAGGGCTTTGCCCACCCCGAATAATCCCGCGCTCCGCAGCCCGCACACCTGGCGGCCGAGCCGGGCGCCCTCTCCGCTGCTGCGGCTGAACTTCTCATGACACGCGGCGTTTTCCTTAACTGCGAAAACAATCCTCCCGTGAGCCAGCAGCCCTCGGCCGCCGCTGGGAGAGAAAGTGGCGACTGGAGGAGAAACGCCTGACTCATGCGCCTGGGCGTTTATGGCAGGGGAATGGATTCTGACCTTTCGGTGCGCTCCTGAGCTGCGCCCGGCCGGGCCGCGCGGGGGGCGGCTCCGCGCAGACTCCCCGCCCGCCACCCGCGCCCTCCCCGCGCCAAGGGCAGGGGCGCGATTTACCTACGGAGTCTATCTCCAGGAGTCGCTGGAGGTCGCGGATGCTGTGGATCTCACTACGGGCCAGCCGCTCGATCAGCTCGCGGGGGATCTCAGCTTCCTGCAAGCAGACCACACGGTCAGCGCCTGCGGCGCGCGTCCAGCAGCCCAGGGCCTCCTGCCAGGCCCGAGGGGGCTGCACCACCGCAGCCCACACGGACCCCGCCCGGGCGGTGGAGTCCGAGACGAGGGTGGAGTGGCTGAGTCCCCAAGTTCTCCGCCCCCATCCCTGTCTGCCCTTTTCAAAAAGAGACCCCACTACCGCCTTTACTGCTGGAACAAAAGCCCCCACGCTCCAGCCCTCGCCTGGGGTGTCAGTTACAGGTCTGGGGGAGGTGAGGGGGCCGCGGAGTTTCTGGTTTAATAGTGAAATCCACATCTAGATAAAGAGAGTCGAAATGCGTCACGGATCGACGACGAAAGTCGCGGCAGCTCTAACACTTTAATCTAGCCAGGGGCTTAAATTTCACGCCCTGGAATCCCGGGCCGAGCTCTTGGAGAAGAGGGTCTCCCCTCACCACACACGCACGCGCGCGCGCGCTCGCCCCACCCGACTCCGGCCCAGCCGCGGCCCTAGCGCCGACTAGGACGCCCAAATCCAGCGGCGGCGGGAGAGGCTGCAGGGAAAGCGAGGGTTAAATATCCACCTCTGGCTCTCGGGTCCCTTCCCAGCCCACCCCCACCACTTAGCCTCCCCCACTCTCCCTCCCGGTGTTTAAAGGGAGTCGGGGGTCGCTGGGGGGCTCAAGCACTAAGTTCCCACGACAGAGGCTGTGGAAAGTCATTCATCACGGCAAAGCTCCTGGGGACTCAGGGGCGGGGGGTGGGGGGACGCCAGCGGTGGGAGGGCGCGGGCGCCTGGCCCGGCCCCAGCTGCTTCGCTCAGCCACCTGTAAGCAGGGCCCCAGGCGGGCCGGACTGCACGGGCCCTGCGCCCCGCCGGGCTTGGGAATCAAACCCGGGGCTGCGACTCGGCGATGCCCACCCTGCCCAGCTTGGGGCTTCCGCCGCAGCTGCCTCTACCTGTTTACTAGCCGCCCAGCTTCTCTCCCTGGGCTCCACCAGCTCACACACACCCCCTTCTTTGCTGCCCGCACCCCGTTATTGCATTGCCCGCCACGACCCAGCTACCCCTCCCTGAAGACGCGCCCGCGCCCCCGGAACTTTCTCCCCACTCTGCACCTCGTAGCTCCGCCGTCCCTTCGAGGCAGAGCGACGCAACACGCTGTAGACTCACTAGACACACTTGGGCATGGCAGAAAATAGAACCCAGTTGAGAAAATTTTAAAATTGACCAGTCTAGTAGAAATCAAAATGCTTTCTGCAGAGTCTGGGGCGCCCGGGCCCGCGGGGGGCGTGCGCCGGGGGAACGAAAGAGGGGACAGGGCGCGGGGGTGGCACCCACCTCGGCCAGGGCATGGGCGAGGTATCCGCAGCCGAGGAGCAGCAGGCAAGCCCAGGTCCTCATCGCGTCCCGAGGCGCTGGCGGCTCGGCGGGGAGGCGAGGCCGCAGGGCGGGCGCTCCAGCCGGGCTCCTGTGGCGGCGAAATTCAGTACCATCCCTCAGGGAACGCGGCCCGGAGGAGGGTGGCGCGGAGAGCAAGGAGCAGGCGGAGCGCGCTCGGCGCGAGCAGTGAGTGCGGCGCCAGCAAGGAGGAGGAGGAACAGGGAGAGCGCGCTTGCAGCGCCGGGAACCTCCTGGGCCGCCGAGTAGGGGGTGGGGACGGAAGGGGCGGAGGGCGGGGGCTGGGCTTCTTCCTTGGTGCGTTCCCGGTGCTGGCCGCCGCCGCGCTCGCTCCCCGGCGCTGGCTTTAGGAGCAACCCGGCCGGTAATTCCGCATATTTGCGGGCATCGACCCCGAGAGGGACCCCGGAGCGAGGCTGGGGCCGCTGCCGCACCACCGATCACCTGTCTGGACGCCCGGCCGGGCCCCAGCTGCCGGCTAGCGCTCTCCCTGCGGGCTGCAGGAAGCTCTGCGTGCCTACCGCCGGCCCGCGCTCGCCTCTGGCCTCCTCTTGCCGCCGCCGCCCGGCCGGGCACAGCGCGGCCCAGCACGGCGCGGCCCGGAGGCCTGCGTGCGCCCCGCCGCGGCGCGCCCTCGGCTACGGCGCTGCGCTCCGCCCTCCGCCGGCCGAGAACGGGCAGCGCCCGCGGCCGCGCCGCCTGGCAGCCGCCGACCGCCCGGGGCCTCGCTGCGCCGCCCGCGCGGGCCTGAGGGCGGGCGCAGGGCCGAGCCGGCGCCGCCGCCGCAGCAGCAGCAGCAGCAGCAGGAGGAGGAGGAGGAGGGCGGCGCAGGCAGGTCCGGCTCGCCGGAGTTCTGCGGGCTCTGCAGGGCGCGCGTGTGGAGCCGGCCGCCGGCGGGGAGGGGGTTATAGCGCCGCCGCCGCGCCCCTCCCCCGCCCCCGCCCCCCGCCTCCCGCGGATTCCGGGCCCCGGACCCGCACCTCGGAAGCGTGCGGGGGGTCTTGCGGGCCCGGCAGGGCCAGGCCGCCACCGCCACTGCAGTGAGCACACTCGCGTTCACGCAGGCAGCCAAATCCATCAAAGCCCGGCGCCCGGCTCCGAGCACAGGCGGCAGGGTTCCCCGCGCGCCCCTCCCTCGAGCTTGCCCACCCTCCAGTGCCAGCTGCAATCCTGCGGCACCCGGCGGGGAGGGGAGGAGGCCGCCGCAGAAGCGCTGCTGCCGCCGGCTCGCCTCTCCCGGGCCCCAGCAGCAGCAGAGGGCAGCGCCCAGAGCTGCTGCGCCAAAAAGGGCACGAGAGCCGGCCCGGCCCCCGCCCGGGCGCTCGGCCGCTTTCCACCGTCTGGATCCAGGGCCCCTGCCTTCCCCCTCTCCATAAAAGGAGGGGGAGTGAGTCTCTAGGGAGAGGTGGGGCTGGCTTAAGGGCGCGTCTGGGGCACTCACCTGGCGGCTGCCACGCGCCCCCGCCCAGGATCCGAAGCCTGGGCACCTGAAAAAGGAACCTCCACCCACATTTCGAGGTGGGAACGAACCCTGGTCAGGGAGGGGACTGCAGCCTGCCTCATCTCTCTCTTGTGAACCCTGCACCCCCCGAGTCCCCACTCCCTCGCGGAAGGCTGGGCTGCACCCTGAGCTGGGAACGGAGAGGTGGAAAGAAGAGAAAGGAGACGCTCCTGAGGAGCTCCTGGGTTCTGCGTCGGGAGCCGCGGGGCTCACAGAGCGCCACCTCCGGCCACGGCTCACCACAGGGCGCGACGCGGGGAAGCGACGCGCGCAGACTAGGTCTGGGCAGGGCTGAGCCGCTCCCCCGCGGCCAAAAAGCGGGTGTGCCCAGGCGCTGTGGATATCGCCAGTCTAGACCAAGTGGGGTTGGACCCGAACGGTAGCACCAGATGCCTGCCAGTGTCCCTCCCTCGAGGGGGCGTACTTCCCAGGTACCGGGTTTGGGGGTGGCTACTCTTGGGAACCCCAAAAGTAGACGACTTAAGCTGGAGAGTAGGAGACGCCCGGTGGGTGAGGGGCAGCCGAGGAGAATTCTGCCGGCCCCAGCCATCACCCCCTTCCTGTAGATGAACCGTACCTCCTGCGCGTAGTCCTCCCTCTGGACCCGCAGGAAAGGCGCGCAGCCCCGCGTGCGGCTCCCGCATTTCGGAGTCTGAGTCGAGAGGGGCTTTGGTGACGCTCGCTTTCCCCCAAATACCTGAAGGGCGGGGGCTCTCCCGGCACTTCTGCGGCGTCTAAATAGCGCTCTCTCGGGTCTCCACCATCCCGCAGCCCTCCACCCTCGCCGCGACCCCGCCGGGTGGTCAGAAAGGCAGAACAAGAGAAAACTTGGACACGTTGAGAAGCACCTGAAAACCAGGCCTGATCCATCCAGATGGAACCTTCTGCGACTTTGGAGAGGCAACCCACTGGATGGTTTCTGGAAGGCGACCGAAAGCGCACTGCCTGGACCCAGGTGGAGCCCTCACCTTCTTATCCTGAGAGCTGTGCTCATCATGTCTCGCTGAGCCCCGGGCTCCTCGAGAGCAGAGGGGACCCCAGGACACCTCGTGGGGGTTCGAGGACCCGATGTGACAGTGGGTGTGGGAATCCAAGAGGAAGGTCGCGTTGCATTTCGGATGGGGTGCCGCACCCTCCGGACCCCAACCCCCTCACGGAGGCCGCTGGTTCCCAGGAATCGTTCTTGGACGGGCGCTTCCCTGTGCTCCCTTATCCGCCCTGCGCTTCACGGACACCCAGCTGGAGACAAGGGCGGAGCAGGGGGCTATCTGGGGACGCGGAAGGGGGCGCCCTGGGCGGCAGTCTGAGTGTATAGGGGCCAGGGTGCACCACTCCGACGCAGGAGCCACGGGGCGCATGGCGCAGGCATCTCTCTAATCGCTGGCCGCTATTAAAAATAAAACTGCGACCCGTCGTCATAGCGACCACAACAACAGTGGCCGCCGCGCGGTGGCTAGAACTCGTGTGGCCAGGCTACAGCGGCCTGGGGGACGCAGGCACAGCGCCCTGAACTCCCAAGGTACCGTGGTGCGAGACTAGGACCCCCTTCTCCGCCCCATTCCCCTCCTCCAGATCCTCGGAAGATAGGAAAAAGCCGAACCCTAGACGCCCAGGTTTCTGAAACCTGGAGATGAAGGCACCGCAGGACGTAACCGAGAGATGGTGGCCTTGGGCGTGAACCAGGCCGGGGGTGGGGGGGCTCCTTCCCCCCCGCCCAGTCTTCCTCCCCTGACTCCCGCTCATTGGAACTCCAATGTGCCCTTTTCAGGCCCTGGCGAAGGGACCTGAGTGGGTAGGTGGGTTCCGGATCTCCGCCGCCAGAGGAGACGGTGCAACCGGAGCCAGGCCGGCGGGGTTTTGCGCGCGGGGGCCGCAGCACCTGTCCCGCCAGCACTGTCGGTGGGAGTGGTCACATGCTTTCTCCTGGCTGGGAATCGAGTTTCACTTCCAGCCGCTATTAGGCGGTTCACACGGTTCACTGCAAACATTTGATAATGAGGCTAAATATACTTTAGAGTTGGAGGAGGCGTGGGCGGCCGCTGCCCAAGCGCGTGGGTGCGGCGCTGCAGGCTCTGCGGGGCATCCCCGCCCAGGCTCGGGAGACACCGGCGCCAAACCGAGGTGCAGTGCGGGACTCCTGAGCAAGACGCGTCCCCACACCGCCCCCAAGACAACTTGACCCCGGCTGCAGGCACGCTTGCAGGAGGCTCTTCGCGCTACTGTCTAGGGCAGAAGTAGAAGCGGACGCAGCGGGGAGCTCCGGAGGACGGGGAGGAGGTGTGAGTGAGAAGAGAAGGTGCACCTGGTGGCCCGGGATGTCCGGTCGCCCCCGAGTTGGTGCTTCCGGCCTATCTCGGGCGTCCCTGGCGCGCCCCGACGTGCCCGTGGGCCCATAATTAAGGTGTCAGGTGCTCCAAGTAGGCCGAGTAGGGGCGCAACCAGGGTGACTGGCCGGCGTCTGCCCCTTGCTGTGTTCCCTCCCAACACAATCCAAGACCAAAGGCACTCAAGGAAGGGCTGGCAGAGCCTTGGCCATTCCTCGGGTAGGAATCGTTCTTGGACGGGCTCTTCCCTGTGCTCCCTGACGGGGTGGGGGCACGAAAACCAACCTTTATTAAGAAACAGGCAGAGGCCAGTGCTTTGTGCAGGTGTAGTCTCATTTTACCTTAAAGCCCGCCTCACACCATCCTCACTGCTTGGCCACTGTCCTTCCAGGCTTGGCACCAATAGACATTCAATTATTGCCGTCATTATTGTCATTTATTAGTAGTGATGACTAACAATTACTGAGGGCTTGGACTGTGCCAGGCTGGTGCCAAGCCCTTTCGCTATATAATTTCATTGCACACCCAAGTGGCAACCCCCAGGCTTTAATCCCTTCCCATTTTGCAGGTGAGAAAGTGAGGCATTTGCAAGCAGTGAGGCTCCCGGTTCCTAGGCTCCTCCATAAATACACAACCTGAATTACCTGGTATCACTTAGGGTTCACAGGCAGGAAGTGAAGGTTGATGTGGCCAACCAGCAAAGCAGGACTGGAGTTCACACCTACTAGGGCCCCAGTCCCAAGGGGCAAGATCCTGCTCTGCCCTTGACCTTGCCTCCTTGGTGTGAATTGTCCCTAGCCTGTCCTCAGCTCCGTTCCTCATCTGGAAAAAAGGGAGGTGGACAGTTGTCCCCCTACACCATGATGTCCCCAGTAGGTCAGCTCCCTGCAGTCCCATAGAGGCCCCAGCACATACCTACAAGCCACAGGGCCCTGACTGTGTGTGTGTGTGGGGGGGGATTGGAGTGCAGAATCCAGGCCTATGCTCCTGTGTCAGCAAAGGTCTCAGAAAAACTGGCAGTGGTGTGACACCAAGTCCCCATTTATCTCTGGGCAAAGTTTCTCGGTTCTGGCAATTAAGCCAGAAGCAGCTTCAACCACCGTGGGCTCACTCCTTGAAGATCAAACGTGCCGGGTGCAGGCGCTAATTAAGTCATTACCTTAAGCCCTGAGGCTAAGGATCAGGCCTTTCCAGTTCAGGCTCCCCAGAGAGACAGAGATAAGCCTCTCCAGAGTGGGAAGGCACCTCAGTGTCTCCGCGCCCTTCTTAACTCCCTAGTAAGTATTTTTATTTTCTCTTTTAAATACACCAACAGAAATGAAATTTACTGTAGCACACAATCATTTGGGGAATGAAGACCTCTATTAGGAGACATTTGGTAGGTTGAGTGGGGGGGGGGGGGCGAGTCCAGAGTCTAGGTCACATCCAGGACAGGAGCATCCGCCAGGTGTGGCCCCAGAGCATTTAAATGCAGCTGGCCAGAATTCTGTTGAAAGTGCAAAACACACACCGGCTTTAGGAGACTCCGTGCAAAGGTCGAGATGTGAAATTTTA